GACTCACAAAGTTCTGCCTGCCTCTGCCTCCTGAGCAGTGTTGGGATTAAAGTTGTGGACCACACCTGGCTACAACCTTGATTTTCTGACCCTGACAGGCAAATGTCTATGCAGCAGGATGACAGATATGTGCTACCACACTGGCTTTATGTGGATTGGCAGAAACCAAAATCTGGTATTCACCATTTCGAGGCAAGCCGTTTCCCAACTGGGCTCTCTCCACAGCCCACCACACCCAGTTCACACAGTGCTGGGGTTGAACCCAGGGCCTTACTCATGCTAGACGAGGAGAGTCTACCAAGTGACCTCCCTGGTAGAGGTTAAAAAGAAAAATAGTTTGCCAGGGCGGGCAAGATCTTTACTAAGCCTGATGGCCTGTGAGAGCCTCAGGTCCATATGGTGGAAGGAAACAACCAGCTCCCCACGAGTTATCCTCGGACTCCCACACTCCCCTCACACACACATTCACACTCACACTCATTGTCCACACGTGCGCGCACACACACACACTCAATGAAAAAAAATTAAAAACTAGCTCAACAAAACCGTCTCAGGCAAATGCTTGATTTTCCATGAGATCTCTGAAACAGAAGAAACAATTCGCTGTTCATCTTCACGCCCCTTGGGAACAGGGCGGGAAACACACTGCCTGCCGTGGATGCTTTTCTCAAAGACCAGCACTCCAAAGCCTCCGGTGAAGCTATGGGGTGTCTTTCTCAAATTTTGGTCACACAAGTGAAAGCCTGACCACTCCTCTTTCTTGACCTCTCCTTCCTTTTTTCTTAGTTGCTTTTTCCAAAACCCTCTCCCAATAAAGTCTAGATCAAATCTGCCCTCCTCCCGAGGCTCTACCTCACATGTTCACACTCACCGCTCTTGGCTGGCAGGCACATTGGTCCACACTCCATGTTGCTTCCCATTTGAAAGCTGTTGTGTGTCTGCTAATATTGGTCTTCTGAGTGCTATATATACTTTTTAAGTAATCTCGGTACATAGCTCAGGCTGATCTTGAACAATCCAGGTTGGCCTCGAACTCAACATCCCCCTGCCTGCATCTCCCTAGTACTGGCATTATAAGCATGCACCACTACGCCTTATGTATACGTGTGCTTGTGTGTGTTTGAATAAGTGTATGCCATGCGTATTTGTGTGCTGATGGAGGCAAGAAGAGGGCATGAGATCCCCTGCAGCTGGAGTTACAGGTAGCTGTGAGTTTCCCAGTGTGAATGCTGGGTATCTGCGAGAGCGTTGAGCACTCTTACCCACTGAAGCATCTCTGTGGCAAGCCCATTTGTTTTTTAAGTTATCATCCTTATTATTTCAAATACCAAGATCTAATTAAATAAGGAAGCTTCATGCTGTCACACATAGCAGGAAGAACTATTGTGTGTTTTTTTTTTTTTTTTTTTTTTTTTGAGACAGGGTTTCTCTGGGTAGCTTTGCGCCTTTCCTGGGACTCACTTGGTAGCCCAGGCTGGCCTCGAACTCACAGAGATCCGCCTGGCTCTGCCTCCCGAGTGCTGGGATTAAAGGCGTGCGCCACCACCGCCCCTATTGTGTGGTTTTTGAAGTTTATTTCCTGATGCTTCTAACTACCTAGAGAAAGTGTGTTTGGGGGGGGGGGGTTGTTTTGTTCTTTGAAGATTTACTTTTATTTTTTATTTATATGTGTGTGTTCTTGTGTGAGTGTCTGCACATGCCCTAAGAGGTCAGAAAAGAGCATTGGGTCCCCTGGAGCTAGAGTTAAGGAACTCCAGCCCTCTGGAAGGATGCCCACCTTTCCAGCCCCAACAAAGTGTGCTGTGCTGTTGTTTGTTTGTTTGTTTGTTTTGAGACAGGGTCTCAGTGTATAGCTCTAACTGGCACGGAACTCACAACGATCCAGCCTCTGACTCCAAAAGCTGGAATTAGAGGTGTTTACCATCATGGTAGGCGCAAGAAAATGCTTTCCTACATTAAAGAAATCCAGCCGGGCATGGTGGTGCACAACTTGAATCCTACACAAGGGAGGTAAAAGTAGTAAGATCTCTGTGAGTTCAAGGCCAGCCTGGTCTACAGAGCAAGTTCCAGGTCAGCTAGGACTACACAGTCAGACGCTGTCTCAAAAACAAAAGAAGCAGAGTCAGGATTGCTGCAAGTTCAAGGCTCGCCTGACCACATAATGAGACTTATTTCAAAAGGAAGGAAGGAAGGAACGAAGGAAAGGAGGGAGGGAAAAAGAAAAAGAAAAAGAAAGAGGGTCTAAAGAGATGACTCAGAAGTTAAGAGCACTTGCTGTTCTTCCAGAAGACCCAGGCTCTGTTCCCAGCACTCACATGACTACTCACATCCATCTGTAACTCCAGTTCCAGGGGATCTGATCCCTCTCTGGCCTCCACAGGCACTAGCCACGGATGTGGTGCACAGGTATGCTGTGCATGCCAGCAAAATGAAAACAAGCTTCTGCCCTCCACCAAAGAATACCCTCCCCCCAAAAAAGCCGGTTGCAGTTGGTGGTAGAGTGCTTCCTGAGTGTGCACAAGACTCTTGAGTTCACTCCCCAGTGGGGAGGAGGGGGAGGAAAGTGAAAAGAAAAAGACCAGGAAAAAAGTTAACCAGGAAGTGCATACCTGTAATTCCAGCATGTAGCAGAGGCATGAGGACTGAACTGAAGGTTGGCCTGGGCTACAGAGTGCGACCTCGTTACATTAAATATATAAAGAAATAGGAGAGCACACATGCACACAACCCTCTAGGAGCTGAGGCAGGAGAACCATGAATTTGATGCCAGCCTTGGCTACATAACACTATTTTAAAAAAGAAATTAATGAAACCTGACATGCAAATGTAAGACATTAGATTTTTATTGGACCTGAGATCAGGAAAAGAAGTTTGAGAAATTTGATGACCTGGATAATAGTCATTATGGAATTATTAACTTTTATGAATAACAATTTTATTCGTTATACAGAGGAATGCCCTAGTTTTTTTAACAGTTGCCTCCTGGAATCTGTAACTTCCTGTAAAATGGTTCAGGGAAAATGTATATATTTATATCTGAATCTTTAAGAGAAGGGGGCGTGGCTGGAGAGATGCCTCAGTGGTCAAGAACACTGGCTGCTCTTCTAGAAGACTTGGGTTCAATTCCCAGCACCCACATGGCAGTTCATAGCTGTCTGTAAGTTTAGTTCTAGGGGATCCGACGACTCTTCTGGCCTCGGCCTGTACCAGGTCCACAGATGATACACGTACACACACGCAGGCAAACACCCATATCCGGAAGATCATAACAATAATTTTTTGTTGTTTATTTTTTTGAGACAGGGTTTCTTTGTTAGCCTTGGCTGTCCTGGATCTCGCTCTGTAGACCAGGCTGGCCTCAAACTCACAAAGATCCACCTGCCTATGCCTCTCGAGCGCCAGGATTAAAAAGGTGTGGGCCACCACCACCGGGCTAAGAATAATTTTTAAGCAAAAGGGGAAGGAAAAGGAGCCAGAAAAAAAGAGCAAAATGTTATCAATATCAAATGTAGATTTAAAATATATTGGTATTCATCCTGTTATTTTTTTCAATGTTTCTACAGATAAAACTTTCTCTAAATAGTTTGGGAGAGAAACTGCTTCCGTGGACCAACATTTGCGTTCAGATAGTGGTCGGCACCATTTACAAAAGGTTTAACGTAAAGCACAAGACTTTGGTTCTTCCCAAAGCCAGACCTGACCTTCATTTGACCTCAGCAGAAGGCTCCAGGTGCTTGCTCGGGACCACGGTTTTAGAGCTTCCCAGTGAAGCCTTCTGCTCCTGCCCTGCTCCCAAGCCGACACCAGCAGCCCCCTGCCTGGCCTCAGCTAAGCGGACCGTAGAATTGTGTCCTCAGGGTTCCCACTCTTACTTTTGGAGAGGCATTAAGTCCTTATGCCACAGGAGCGGACGTGGCTGTGTCCGGGGATGAGCCGGATGCCTGGCTGCTGTGGAACATTTGTTTAACTAGGCAAAGATGTGTTGCATTTGCGTTAAGTAAAATTAACTTGGGCTCAGAGAAATGGGAATTAGCAACTAGTTGGCGGGAAGTAGCAGGGAGGGGTGGAGCGTGTGTTTTTTAGGGGGGGGGTGGGGGGGAAGGAAGGGGGCCTCTGGGGAGGCCGGCTAAGAAAGTCAGGCAGTTGTAGCTCTACCTCTCTGAGCTGCAGGTTTTCACCCTGGCCTTTGAATCTTGAGTTGTATTAGAACGCTAGGAGATTTAGGTAGAACTACCTTTGGCGTCAGCAACGGAGCCGTAGCCTGGGGGATTTGTCCCCAGGCTAAGGCCTGAGTAGCAGGGCTGCTAGTTTCAAGCAAAGACACTGTGGTAAGGGTAAAAGAGCAGCTGGCTGCTTTATTATCATTGCCCCACCGCAAACCACAGTGACGAAATAGTTTCCAGTCTTCCTGAGCACCCAGCACGCCTCTGGAGAGTGTCGACAGGTCCAGATCCAATCCACTTCCTCTCTTCCTCTAGGACTCAAGGGCAGGCTGGCACATCTGCCTTTGTTAGGATTCCAGTTCAGCTCTATCTCTGGATCCACTGAGTTGTTCTGCCTTTACTGTCTCGGTCACTGGTCTACTGCTGTGAAGAGACACCACAACCACAGCAACTCTTAACTGGGGGGTGAAGTCCACTAACATCATGGCTGGAAGCATGGCGGCATGCGTGATGCTAGAGCGGTAGCTGAGAGCTATGTCCTGATCCATAAGCTGAGAACCTGGACCTGGCATGGGCTTTCAAACTTCAAAGCTGCTGCCAACCCCCTTTCCCCAACACACACACACACACACACACACACACACATACACACACACACAGGCACGCACGCACACACACATGCTTCCTCCAAGGCCACACTTCCTAATCCTTCTGATCCTATCAGAGTTCCCTCCCTGGTAACTAAGCATTCAAATATATTGGCCTATGGGGGGCCGTTCTTACCCACACACACTTCAATGCTCTTTTTCCATCTTTGCAAGAAGAATGACTAAACTCTTTAAACATAATATTACTACTTTATTCAGAAAATAGTATTACACAGGGCTGATGCAAACAGATATCCATAAAATTATATAAATCTGACAGCTACATCTTCCAGAAAAGACCCAGTCATTGTGAACAAGGAAACCAGGAGGCTGTCATAATGACTGCAGTGTTTTAAGCAAGTGTCCCCACATTCCCTTACAATGGAGGTGGTCCGTTGAGCAGGAGGAGAAGGTGGCGGCCATGTAGACTCCATGCCTCCTGGCTCTGCCTACACTCAACTCAGCGGTTAGGCCTTGCTAAACTCCTGGAGAGCCCAACGCTTGTTCTCCACTGCCTGTTTGAGCTGGGTGTACTCCTTCACCAGGCTCTCAAAGTCTTCTCCCAGGACCTCGTAGGTTTTCAGGGCCAGTCTCGACTTCTCCATGTCCTGCTCTTGTAGGCGAATGGCTCCCTCCAAACGGTCCCTAAGAGCCCCGGCAGAGAAAGTTCAACAGAAGGACATAAGTCCTCAGACAATAGACAAGTGCAGGAACATGTCACCATGAACACATCGGAAGAGCCGGGGGACAGGCCGTGAACAGCTGTGTCTGGTTCTTAGGGGCTCTTACCTAATGAGACAATGCACTTCCACTTTCTCAGCACTGTAAGTGTCAGACAAAATCTTCAGCTCCTCCATCCTGACAGAGGGAAGAGAGAAATGTTCTAGAGAAGATCCCAAACCAAACAAGAGTCTAGGGGCCAGCAAGAGGGTTCGGTGGGTAAACGCGCTGGCTGACAACTCAGTTTAATCTCTGGAACCCATGTAAAGGTAGAAGATGAAAACTGGATCCACAGAGTCTCCTCTGACCTCGACATGCACTGTGGGGCACACACACACACACACACACACACACAATTTTTTTTAAAGATTTATTTATTATGTATAAAGTGTTCTGCCTGCATACATGCAGAACACCAGAAGAGGGCACCAGGCACCAGATCTCATTACAGATGGTTGTGAGCCACCATGTGGTTGCTGGGAATTGAACTCAGGACCTCTGGAAGAGCAGCCAGTGCTCTTAATCTCTGAGCCATCTTGCCAGCCCACACACTTCTTTTTAAAGTACAGTTAAGAATGGCCATAAGGCCGGGCGTTGGTGGCACACGCCTTTAATCCCAGCACTCGGGAGGCAGAGCCAGGCGGATCCCTGTGAGTTCGAGGCCAGCCTGGGCTACCAAGTGAGCTCCAGGAAAGGCGCAAAGCTACACAGAGAAACCCTGTCTCGAAAAACCAAAAA